GCGCTGGTCTCCGCCAGGAGCCGCTCCACATCGGCCCGCGGCCCTGAGACGGCCGCCATGCCGCCGCTCGTCGGCAGCCGCGCCAGCGCCTCGGCGCGCGCATAGGTGAGCTGGCACAGCCGCTGCAGGTCTATCTCGCCGGCCGCCAGCGCTGCGAGCATCTCCCCCGCAGAGTGGCCCGCGGCGGCCGCGCAGCGCAGGCCCAGGGCGCTGAGCAGGCGCCACTGGGCGTAGCCCACCATCATGATTGCGGGCAGCGTCAGCCGCAGGTCCCCACTGTCTGGCGGCGCGGCGAGCGCAGCCGCGACCGCCGGGGCAAACGGCAGCCCCGGAGAAGCCGCCGCCGCCGCCGCTGGCGGGGGCCAGTCGCGCTCTGGCAGCAGCAGCGGTGGGCCGGGATAGGCGGTGGCGAACTCAAGGGCGCCCGCGCGGAAGGCGGGGAGGTGCGTCCACAGCTCTCCGCCCATTGCAGGGCTGTGTGTGCCCTGCCCGCAGAACACGACGCCGACTCGGGGCAGGGCGCTGCGCGTTGAGGCTGGGGCGAGCCCAGGCGCCGCAGTCACTGTCACCAGGTCGTCGGGCGTGGGCGGGGCTGCTGGCAGCAGCAGCGCAGCGCGGTGGCGCAGGCCCAGCGCCGCGGCGCGGTGGTGCGCGCGAGCCGCGGTGTTGACGTCGCCGCCGGCGGCGGCGAACTCGGCCCAGCGCCGTTGGTACGGCGCCAGCAGCGACGCGTCGTGCGCCGCGAGCGGCAGCAGCAGCAGCGGCGACTGGGGAGGCCGAGACTCGCGCGGCACGGTTTTGATGAAGCCGTCCTTGCCAGCAGCCGCGCCCGCCGCCAGCTGCAACTGCTCCCCCTCCTCCGGCCCCTGGACTATCGCGTAGGCGTTGGCGCCCCCCATGCCTGTTTAGCAGCAGGGCAAACGGCGGGGCGAGCGGGGATGGTTGGCGGTCAGATTAGCCCTGTGCAAATCCCTGTCCTGAGCACATGCGACAGGCTGTACACACCGCAATTGGTGGCTACCAGGCATCACCACGGACTTGCAAGTATTGATGCCGATCAAGGCAGTTGTTGCCGTTGACAACAGCAGTGCAAGCTGGTGCCACCAGCTGTGACTGCGCCGTTCTCACATTTGCGCTCTGTCTGTGGCTCCTCCCACGGCTGCTGGCCGAAGCTGCCGCGCTTGACGGTCTGGTCATGCGGCTTAAGCTGGCAAGTGCTTACTCTGTGTAAGCTGTGTGCTTTTCCAACCCACCAAAGCTGTTGATGCCGATGAAGGCCAGCGACCCGGGCGGCAGCACGAGCGGCTCCACCTCCGTCACGACCCGCAGGTTGAGCCGCGTTGCATCGATCTTGGGGCTCCACTTGCTGAAGGACCCAGAGGGCAGCAGCAGGCGGTGGCGGGCCATGAGCAGCACCTTGACCAGGCCGGCCAGGCCCGCTGCGCTCTCCAGGTGGCCGAGGTTGCCCTGGAGTGAAGGGGAGTTGGGGGGAGGGGTTGAGGTGGCAGCACAGCCACGACACCATTTGTATGTGTGGTCGTGGGGTGCATGTCTGCACAGGCATGCATGCATACGCGTCTTGGGAGAGAGGTGCATGTGCAGCAATGCTCAGGCCAAGCTGGCACATGGCGAGGAAGGCTCAATCATCCAAGGGCACAGGCGGCAACTCTGGCGCACCTTGAGCGACCCGATGGGCAGCGGGGTGGTGCGGCCGCTACAGCCAAGGACGGCGCCGATGCTGGCCGCCTCGATGGGGTCGCCTGGGCATGTATGTAAGTAAGGGACCACGGTTGGGGTGTCAGACAACAGATGCACCGTGTGAAGAGGGGTTCGAGGGAGGATGGGAGCGTGGCAGCACATGGAATGCAAGGGGATTGCAACAGCAATGAGTATCTGAGGACAATCAGCAGTATGTGTCAAGGGGAGGTTTGAAAGCCTGTGTGGAGGGCAGCATCTGGTCTGGAGAATGCAGACAGTGGATGCCAACAGGCTGTTCACTGCAGCGAATTGCTGGGCTGTATGGGAGTGCATTGGCTGCGCGATAGCAACAAGCACAGCTTGAACAGCAAGTTCGCCCCCCTCGAAATACAAGTTATCCACAATAACCATGGCAGTACAGGCCAAAGACGCTCACCGACGGGCGTGCCTGTCGCGTGTGCCTCCATGTAGCACACGTCAGCTGGGTCCACACCCGCGCGTTCGTGCACCTGCTGCATCAGCCGCTGCTGCGCCACCGCCGACGGCGCGACTGCAGACGGCTTGGCGCCGTCCGCGCCGGCGCCGCTCCCCACGATGTAGCCGTACGGCCGCAGCGCTGCCCCGCTGAGCGCGGCTGCCAGCCTAGGTCTGCATTGACCCACCGGCATGAGCAGTATGGCGACGGCGCCCTCGGCACGCACGAAGCCGTTGGCCGCCGCGTCAAACGGCCGCGACTCGCCGGTCGGGGAGATGGCGCCACTTGCTAGGGAGGTCATAAGAAGGTAGCTGGAGAGAAGGGTGTTCGTCCCTGCGGGGTGTGGTGAGTTGCGTGATTGGCAATTGCTTTCTGTGCGCGGCTTTGGGGTGATGATGGTTGGAGGTTACAAGAGCATGAGGCGAGGTGCGATGCGGGTGGGGGGGCGCTGCGGCAGGCAGGTAGGCTCTTTGCTGGCTTGTGGAGCGCCAGACACATTGCAAAACGCTCACAGCAGCAATGCCACAACCCATCGCACTCATGCTTGTAACCACCACAATCAGAGCAGGTTGGCTGAGGCGCGCGCATGCATAAGACTCAAATAATGCAGAGGGGCAATTTCCCGATGCGACTCCCGCCCACCGATGACGACGGCAGCAGAGCAGTCCCCGACACGCAGGCTGTTGGCTGCCATGTGCAGAGCAGTGAGGGAAGACGAACAGGCGGTGTCGACGGCGACGGAGGGGCCGGTGAAGTCGAAGAAGTGTGACACGCGGTTGGCCACGAAGCAGCTGTGTTGCGGGAGGAGATGAGGGGGAATGAGGAGGCTGTCAGCGATTGAGCAGCATGACAGGTGCGCGAGAGCCGCAAGAAGCCATTTGGATGATTTGATCGCGCTTGTGCACTTCTGGGTGGCTGAGGCGGTGCCAGCCACCAGCAGGGTGGCCGTGTTGCAAAGGATGCCCTAGCGCGCATGGCGTGCCTTGCACACACCCGCGTGTGCATGCACTGAGCCGTTTCTTTCAGGTGCACCACCCGGCGGGCACGGGCATGCGAGCGCGCCCCTTCGCGCCCTTCCAGCGCAGGTGGCAACTCACCCGTACGTGCCGGCAATCGTGCCGACTGCCCCAGGCTGCGAGCCCTTGTGGATGGGGAACTCTGGCAGCCCCACGCCCGCGAAGACGCCGACGTCCAGGCCCCTCATGCTCTCCATCGACAGCCCCGCGTCCTGCAGGGCCTCGTAGGTCACCTGGGAGGGAGGGGGCCGAGGTGCGAGCCATGGGGAGCAGGGCGGTTTGCGCGGGCAACAGGAAGGGTGTATACCGTGATGTGTATATGCATTCAAGTTGGGAAAGGGGGACCTGGGCTTAAGTGCTGCTCGCATGCGTGTTAAAGTCTGCTTGCTCGCGCTTGCTGCGGGACGCTGGCTGACAGGGCAGCGAGAGGGCAGGCTATGGCCGCAACGGGTGGCTGATTGCTGGCAGGTGAGACACAGGGGCGCGCGGCGCTAGCTGCTGTAGGGTGCTTTCGTCACATGCACACTCACGCCTGCAACTAGAGCGCGGATGCAGCGCATTGCAAATCCGACGGCCCACCCACAGGCGTGCACACGTGCGCGCACGCACGCAGGCACGCAGGCACGCACGCACGCACAGAGGACACATCCACATGTGCGTGCAGGGCCCACCTCCAGGGCCATGCGCTGCTGTGGGTCGATCTCGCCAACGGCGGCCGGGCTGATGCGGAAGAAACGGTGGTCCAGCGCTTGCGATGCTCCCTCGGCCAGTGCGCCCAGCCGCAGCGCCGAAGCGGCCGGCGACAGCGAGCCGGGCGGGTAGCGGCCCGGAGGCACCGGTGACAGCGCGCATCGCTTGGCGGCCAGGAAGTCTAGGAGGGCGGCCGGTGAATCCACGGCGCCCGGCAAGCGGCACGCCACGCCAACAGCCGCGAGGTGCGGTGGGGTTGCCGCCAGCGCCATGGGCGGCAACTAGCGACAATCTTACACGATTGCGCACTCTGTCTGCTTTGTGACGACTTCCGTAATCACCCAGCAGTGTCCTACGTCGGAAGATGAGGCAAGCGGATCTCCTTCAGGACCGGCTGTCCACCGATCCGATCCTGGGGGATCAAGGCTTGCAGCTTGCCCCGCGGCCTTTAAACTCGTTTCTCGAAGATACTTCATGTTTCAGAGCGTGGACCGCCAATCGTGTCCAGACCACATGGGCTGTCCAAATCGGAGTCATCTTCAGTGATGGAGTTATCAGTCATCAGTCACTACGAACTTATAAATGGTGACTTTCTGAACAGTCCAGGGCACTTTTGACCCGCTTTCAACTGCTGTTCTTCCTCTTGCCTGGCCAAACTTGGTGTGGTCGGTCACCTTGTACAGGTGGCCCATGTGCCGACGGTGCTGCAGCACAACACATCTCACCCAGTGGTCCACTGAACGTTGCTTGACACGATGTTCTGTGTTAGGTCCTTCGTATTGTCCTGCTGTCATGTAATACTGTAGATGCTGCTGTTTTGTTGGGGATGCCCTTGTGCAACACGACTTCTGTCATCATCGTGTCGCTAGTGACACAGCCGGTGACAACACGGAGCTTGGAGGGGGAGTCCGAGGGGGAGTGCGCAAGCGCCCAGACTTCGTTTGCGCAAAAACTGTTGCTACCAGTTGTTGGTACCAGTGGGTTGGGTATGGGCAGGGATACCCCACAAACCTCGTGCACACCGCTGCTGCTTGCCCCTCGTGCCACGAGGGGCCAGTGGCCGTGTGCGGTGCCTCTGGTGACGACGGACCCTACTACACGCCACCCAGTAAACGAGTACTGCTTGCATGCATCTTTTACCACGTGTTGATTTTTGAATGGTGGCGGCACCAATCTTCACTCGGGTGAGTGGACGGGGCAGGCAGTCACCCGGCCAGAGCCTCTCGGGAAGGGGCTGCGAGTCAAGTGATTGGCCAGGTGCGGAAGCAGCCATCCGCAGATGTCCAGGTTGGATAAACAGCTGCGAATAAAATGCACCTGCCTGCCACTGCAACCTACCTCTCGCACCCACGGTGTGCATCGCAGCGCTGCCTTCCTTTCTGTGTGCCGCGCCGATCGTTGCATCGGGCTGCTGGGGGGCCCGCACTGTTGACATCGTGCCTCAGCTGCTCCTTCTGAGGGCGTCCCGAGGAGGGCTGGGTGCATCCATAGGTACCATGTGGGGCCAAAGTCTGGAAAACTACGCAGCGGTGCCAATTGCCAGAGTGTTGGTCACAGCTCTTCATGACTGGCACCAGTCAAACCAACACAGTCTCATCGGTGGTACATGACGGCACCAGCCGTGACCCCGCGGCTGCCATGCGAGCATGGCCCTTGCAAAGCACAAGTCTACTGTCTTATAGGATCGTCGGTGGGACGAATAAAGGCGTGCGTTTGTCAGCCGCTGCAGGTGCGCCGCATGCGCCCGAGTCCAATTGCGCACCAAACTCTCCTCACTTCTCGGCAAGTTTGCATCGAGCACCGGTGACATTGGGCTTCGGCCCAACCAAGCTACCATGTTTTGCTTACACGAGTGACGCCGGCCGTGTGGGGTGAGGGGCCACATGCGTCAGCTAAAAGCCATTCGGCCAGTTGCTGAGCGACACAAGCAGCGGCTGCTGATAATGGATGTGCAAAGGCCGCAGGTACTGTAGCCCACAATTTTAGTGAAGCTTGACTCGGATAATCTTAGCTTCGCAATCGCGACACAGCATACATTGAGTACACACTGCCAGTTGACTCTGAAGTGGGGCGAGGACTGACGCACGACGCTCAAAATGATGGTACTGCGAGCAGAGTGCAAGGCAGGTACATACAGCGTTGAAAGCACTTTGACACTGCTATCTGCTGCCTGGCACCTGCTGGGCGCGGCCTCTCCCCTGGGTAGGAAAGGATGATGAAAGCGCACAGGCGTGCGGGACAGCGTGCGCCCTCGGGTTACGCTGGGAGTTACGCCCTTGCATGAACAGAAATTGATATCACCAACATCACGCGGCTATCAAGGGGAAGTGCTTTGTTTGCTTTACGTAGCTTTCCGTGCCCAGTTGTACTGCCACACGGCCAAGAGGCCTGAGACTGCAAACAGCACAGCATGCATAGCGCCAGCCTCGCCCGCGCGCGTGCCGTGGGCCCCAGCAGTGGCGTGCTTGCTAACAAAGTTTTTCGTGGGGCCACGGTCAGGTCCATGAAGTTGTATACTAACCCCGCGTCGCGCGGCCAAATCATCAGCTGTGAGTCGTTTCCGGTACCGAACCGTATGGCGACGCTCGCAGTCGTTTCTAGACTGACATGTGCAAGTGGCATGTTGTCTCGGATAAGATGTGGCACCGGAGTATCGGACCACCTGCCGATCACCTCGACTGTTGGCGCCACAGCGTATCTTACGATCTTGCTGATGGTCGGCGCGGTGCTGGTCACCCGCCCAGCCCCCGTGCGCAACATACCAAATACCGACGCCTCAAATGTCTGGCCCATGTGCCCTGCGCAGCCATCCTCATGCCACTTGCTTCCCTGAATTCGCTCAAACGACATTCAATGCGTACGCACGCAAAGCACGCATGCGTGCGGGCAAGCGCGCGCACGCGCGCGGGCGCGCGCACGCACGCACACACACACACACACACACACACACACACACACACACACACACACACACACACACACACACACACACACACACATACGC